AAGTACTTATTTTCTGATTATTCAGTCATTTCATCTGGTGATTAAAATATTCAGAAAACCCAATTTACCGCTTCATTCATATTCAGGTATTATGGAAATATTCTGATGAATACAGTTGAATAACCCCATAAAATTATTAAATGATTAATGATAGTCACATGTGACAAGACAGAAAAATAGACGAAATCAATATGTAACGTCACATATAAGTGTATCGGTTCAAGTTACCACACTTCACAGTAGCATTTAAAGAACAAGTGAATGGGGAAGGACTTGTGTCAGAGTTGTATGAGAGGAGATACAACTTAAAGGTAAAGACCGGTAAAAATAATCAACGTTTAAAATATTTCAAAGAGTAGAAACCTCTGAGCCATTGTAACCCATTTTAGCCCTTTCACTAGGGTTGGTCAAGTATGAATTCCCATGATCTCGAAGATCTTAGCCAAGGCTGTCAACATTTCCCTACATGGTATATAGTCTTGCAATTCACCTTTCTTTGGTTTTTCCGATTCAGATACAAGCGCATCAACTAACAGGCATTCAGGACAGATCCTCATTACAAACATCATTAATTTGTTTGTATACCTTATTATGGAGATTGAATCTCATGTCCTCTTTGCCTTGGAGAATATTTTTTCTTAAGAACAACTGAAAATCATGCTTTTATTTCATTATTTATGCATAAAGGATCGCGAATGTAGTTCAATTCGCTATAGGTACGCAACTAAAATAAGAGATAAAACTTACTGTCACTCATGAATCACAAGAATACCTTTCAGAATGTATTCTCTAATTTTTGCAAAAATTATAGTTTTTAAACATTTTTGTTATACTTTTGAGCTACTTATATTTTATTAAGTAGTATAAATATTTGTGTAAAGTTCACAGCTTGTCATATGGTATTATTGGGTTTCTAATATTTGTCAACTAATTGTTTGATTACACTGCTACGATCTATAGACACCACGTATACACGGAAGAAATGTTTCAAAACACTTCAATTTTCAGTTCCGATGATAAAATAATCACTGGATATTTAAACAGATAACCCTTATAATGCTTTTTACCACGAAGATAGTTTGTAACACCTTCATCTAATTTATTTAAACAGACAAAGATAGTAAAGTAAAATATGATTCAGAAAAGCAAATGTGTTTGGTGCCACAGCTAGTTAATTTGACTGATTTTCATGACTGTATCTAGGTAACCGCATATGATGTAGAGTGGCAGTTGATGATGTCATAGATTTATTTTGTGTTAATTAGGCTTGATCTTAGCTAACACTGCGTCAAGGTGAATGGTAGCTATAGAGTGCCTACCATTCATCACAAACCGATTTATAACTTCTGAGTGTACACTCCACTTCAATTTTGATGCCATCATACGTTAGCAGTATTACAAAGATATTCATTTTAGAATATCCGTAATCTCTTTATTTTATCTAACCTGATGAACACATCTGAAAGTTTTATATGAAATCAGAGTGAACTGTTACGTAGCATAGGTGCATTTTTTTGAAAAAGACTAAATTGAGTGAAGAAATATATATTCCTTTTCAATTAGGTCCGTCTTCATCTTGAGCTCTACACTAATATGCACAAGTTTACAATTTAATCAAATTACCAATCATGTGGTGATGTTTCAGAAATAATCATGTAAATAATCAATTGAGTTAGTAAAAACTGGAGATACGAATATTGATAGAAACAAGGGGAAGGGTAACAGGTGTACAAAGTAAACCTAGAAGTTACATCATGTTGACGGCCACGGTAATGAAAGTGGTCGAACAAACTTCTTTTGGATACAAAGACTAGGTTTGTGAAGGTGGATTGCGATCGCCTTCTTCATCTAACCGAATCACTGAAAAGGATAAAACAACAAGGTTTCATTTCAGAAAGCACCTTCGAAATGCTGAAACCTACTGGAATCATTACACCTAGACTTTATGGTCTACCGAAACCGCATAAAAACGGTCTGCCTCTACGACCATTTCTTGACATGACTGACTCTCCGTATCATACAACAGCGAAATGGTTAGTAAAACTTTTGAAGCCTCTCCACAAAGAAGTTGTGAAGTACAGTTTCAAAGACACCTTTGAATTTGTTAGAAAGATTGAGGATCTGGAAGTAGATAATAAGTTAATGATTTTGTGTGATGTTTCATCTCTTTTCACTTACCTTCCTTTAATGGAGACAGTAGACTTCATTTGCAACAAACTCGCAAAACATGGCATGGAAATAGTTATTCTTGTCTCCATATGAAAAGAACTACTTCTGAGGTGTACGATGAATGCACAATTTCTTTTCAACAATGAACTTTATCGGCAATCTGATGCTGTTGCTATGGTGTCACCCCTTGGCCCACTCTTAGCAGATTTTTTTCTGGCAAAACTTGAGAATGGTCCAATGAACGGTACCATTGGCCGTTTAGAGTTATGTTGTCGTTACATGGATGATACCTTTATACTTCTGAAAAGTGAGACTGATAAGAATGCTGTTCTGAATAAGTTCGATAGTGTTCACCTGGCTATCACCTTCACAATAGAAGAGGAGAAAAATGATAGTATCCCATTTCTTGATGTTCTGTTGGTAAGAAGGTCAGACGGAACCCTGAAGCGAAGTGTTCATAGAAAGCCAACATCAACAGATCAATATACGCACTTCTTTAGTGCTGTACCCGTCCAACATAGCATATCGTGCCTCAGCTATTTGCTCAGAGGATACGATAAAGGAAGAGTGCACCACCATCCGTGACCTGCTTAGTAGGACTGGCTACCCAGGCAAGTTTGTAACTAAGAACATGAATATTACGGGGGTTAAGACAGCAATGCCAACAATTCCTAAGTAGCAAATCTTCTTGAAGCTGGAATATAAGAATAATATTGCCAGTGAGATCATCACACAACGTATAAAAAGTGTCTTGCATAGGGCATTCCTAGCCGCTAAATTATGTCCCGCCTTCTACAACCACCCTATTATAAGTACAAGAAATAAAGACAAGCTACCTGATTCTGCCATTTCTATGTGCATTTATGAACTCAAATGCTCCTGTGGAGCTAGTAACATTGCATGTACAATGAGGCAGTCCCATTCTCGAATTTCTGAGCACCACCCATCATGGTTGAACAAGGGACAAATTAGAACTATAAAGAGCCCCATACTTGCACACTTAGTTGACACAGGATATCAAGTGGTTACTAGAAAAGCCTTCAAAATCATCCATCAGATTCCAATTAATTTACCTCATGAATTACGTACTCGGTTACTTCACATAGTAGAGGCGATTGTAATCCACCTTCACAAACCTAGTCTTTGTATCCAAAAGAAGTTTGTTCGACCACTTTCATTACCGTGGCCGTCAACATGATGTAACTTCTAGGTTTACTTTGTACACCTGTTACCCTTCCCCTTGTTTCTATCAATATTCGTATCTCCAGTTTTTACTAACTCAATTGATTATTTACATGATTATTTCTGAAACATCACCACATGATTGGTAATTTGATTAAATTGTAAACTTGTGCATATTAGTGTAGAGCTCAAGATGAAGACGGACCTAATTGTAAAGGAATATATATTTCTTCACTCAATTCAGTGTTTTTTTAAATGTCTAAATGGGAATATTCAATGCATTTTTTTTAATTCATTCTCATCGAAACCGAAAGGAATTTTGAAATTATTAAAACTTTCAATAAAATCAGCCAATTTACTCATTATCTTTCAAACTGAAAACACAATTTACCTTGATACACTGCCGTTGTCGTAAGGTGACTTGGTACACTTTTATGTGAGACTGTACTTTGTTTTACAGGTTTTTCCGTCAGTATATACTTAAAAAATGTAGGCCACAATGATGATAGAAGGTATTTTTTGTGGAAACTTGATTGATATCTTTGTTTTAAATGATTACGCTACGTAAACCTTCACATAGCTACTTGAATTTAGATAAAACAGTCTCTATTAACTAATTACAAGATTCAGTGATACTTGTTTCTCTCTCCCCCCCCCCTTTATGATTATACTGGACAGAATAGATCTATCTCTCTTCGTATATTTGACTCCATGAACGTATACCTTGATACTGCATCAAGTTTCTTTGCGATGTACAGTATTTGGCGATGGTTATTGATTGAATCCAAAACGGTTGTCAGTGGGATGATCATCACTCATAACGATCCCGGTCCATCTATCTTACAAGTTCGAAATAGGTCAAAATACGCCTACTGGATTCCATATCTTAACATTGACATTTGACCTCTTGATTACAAAAACAAAACACAGCATTCATCTGAAGAAATACTACAATTTTTTTATATGACTGAATATGTTTCGGTTTCAAAACACTACGATACTGATTCAAGCCTACTCATTTTTCATAATTTATCTATTATCAGGGTACAGATGTGACTATCCACTGACTAAATGCCTTGAAATCTTGAAAACTATCACATATGCAAACTTTGCTGTGATCGCCCGAGACAGAAATTTCTTTCTTGATTCAAACTGAAGTGTTTCACTGTTTTATTATGTTTCTCATTTATTTTGCTAATAGAAACTGTGGGATAAACAATGAAAAATTTTGAAAAATCTTGATGTTTGAAACATATAGGGATTATGCCTTTTATCTGACATTAGTTCGCCTTAATGACTAAATTCGACCAACAATACAAGCAAGTCAAGAATACAATCTCACACATATATCCAGTGTATTGTTGCCTAAATAGTTGTACGTTGTAAATTGGTGATAAGTATTTTCCTTAGATAAAGGTTCGCAATAAAAATAGGATAAGAATGCAGTAGTGAGCAGCGAAAAATTACAATTTTAGTTTTTGATTCCTTCAGATACGTTTCTGTAATATCTGTCTTATTATTATTATTATTATTATTATTATTATTATTATTATTATGAATGAGTTCCTTCAACATTATGAAGGCTGACAGTGTTGATGAAGTTATGACCGACAACAATAATGAACAGATTTAATTCTAATTACTAATTATCAACACTTTTGGGCATATTCATGAGTCACCTTCTCTTGTATACCATCTGAACGTAGTTTCCATAATGCAGTCTTAAATGATTGTAATGTGGTTTGATCATTTGTTCCGGATGCTTTACTACCTAATAATTCTTTGTCTAACTTTAATCCCAACTCCCAGACTTGATCAAAACTCAATGGAGAGCCGAATAATGAGGATAAATTAGCTTGGTTGAATATATCCAGTATCTGAAATGAAACAGAAATGATAAAAAAAGAAGAGAAGATAGAGAGTGAATTAGTCCTAATATATATTAATTTGAAACAGTGTTTTCTATTAGAAGGTTTGCACGTGTTCAGTTATTGAATTCAATTTAAATATTCATCATCATAAAATTGACACAAGTTGGAGAACCATTGAAAACGTTTAAGCATCAGACAGTTGTTTCACCCTCAAATACAAGTTCCCAGCAGTGCGTAATCATGACCCTGCGCCACCCCCTTTCCATCAGGGAACCATTCCACAACCTTTAAGTTCTAGGCCAAGTACGCTGCTGTTGAGCTTTTTCATCAGTATACAGTAGTCCACACTTTCTTGCTTCTATTAATTTTCGATACAGTAACAAATTCATCCAATGTTGCCGTTCAGTGTTGACCCTCATTACTGATTTCGTTTGCCTCATCCATCACCGCTTCTTGTCAGAAATTCGGGGAATCTTATCTCGAAGTAAATTATTATTAAGGTCAAAAAATGATACATTAATTGTGGATGGGCCCTAGGTTTGATCTGTGGAGGGCCGGGTCATGGGTATGCACTACCACTAGAACGAAACAGCCATTCAGTGCTCTCAGGTTTTCAGTGATACTCCAACTGTTGTCAGTTCATGAACAATACCAAATTGAAGTCAATAAATTATGTTTTACCAACAAAGATTAATGCAACTGAGCTTAGATGAACTTACTTTACACACATATCAAATTCTTCACACCATCGGCATTCAAAATACAATATGGTATAAATAACCAAGCAAAACTAATTATTTCCATTCATTTCCATGATCATTCTTTACCTGAGTTACCTAACTGAAACTTTCTCAATGAAATATTCAGTGACACTTTGTTAGAATAATACTGACAGTAGAAAGAAACAGTGAAATTTCTCTTTCATAATTAGACCAATAGACACCAGATGTTACCAGAAATACACAACTTGAGTTTCTGCTCTTGCTTCAATAATCAAGCCAATAATGAATAATCATGTTACAGTTCTTACAATCTGCTAACAAAAACGGTTTAATAAAAAAACTATTCGATCAAGTTTTTACAATATGATCAGTAGAGGATGTTAAACAACAGTGCAATGAGTAATCCAAGTTTGAACCGTCCAGAGAATACCAGTGTTATCATGGTTTCAGATACCTCTTGCTGATGAACACCAACAGGTATAAAGCCTAGGTCAAGTAGAACTCCCTACTGATTGACTTCTACCATCGAAAATAGAATTATACATTGTCTAAATTTGGAGGTTTGTCGGAATTCATTGATCTTACGAACTGACATCAGTCGGAGAAGCACTGAATACCTGAGGGCATTGGACAGCTGTTTCGCTCCAGTATAGGATTCTTCAGCAGTGCGTATCCACGACATTATCATTAGTGTATAACTCGCTTGATGAGAGTCAACCGACGAAAAGATCTGGGCGCGTTTTTCGTGCTTATTAGTTCACGGTTCTTTGTCAGTTGACTTCTAACATCTAATATAGAATGAAATGTGCCTTAATATTCCACCCTTTAGGTTAGTGACAATATGACATACGTGATCGGTAATGTAGGATGAAACAACCACATATATTATCTCCCGGTAACTAATTCCTGTACAGAAGTAATTCTCATATTATCACAGAGAACTGATACTTAACTCTTCGATATTAAGCCTCACAAAACGATTATTAATACTGATGATGATGATGATGATGATGGATAGTGGCTAGCAGCAGAATCCGAGACACACATCTCCTTGTTTTTCAGATTCGTCAACTGAATAGTCCAGCATTACAGTGACTGATTTTGTTCCCATCAAGACTCGAACCCAGAACCGTTTGCTTCAAACACTAAAGCGTTATCTAACAAGCGAATGAGAGAAGATAGTCACTCCTTGTGCGACAGGTGTAACATTTTTTTCATTGCTCGTTCTTGACCGGATCGAATTGATCTATTTCTAATGGTATACACCCTCCTGTGCTGATGTCTTCGTACTGCCTGTAATTTCAGGACATAACAGCTGTCCAGTGCACTCTGGTTTCCAATGTTCTTTAAGTAATATGAGTTCATGATAAATTTCAATCCGTAATCAATTCATAAATCTCCACAAAAACCTCCTGATAAAATTAATATAGTGCTCATTCGTGACTAGCTTCGAGAAGTAATTCCTGAAGTTTCAATGAGAAGTTGTGACCAGTGAAGTCAACCAAGTTGAACATAAAGACAATTACTCAATGACGACATCGGATGTAGGTCGCACTATATTGTGAATTGACAGAAGCAGGGAATATGCACCAATGATCACACCAGTGGCTAGCTCAATGGTAACGTGCTGGCCATAGAACCTCAAGTTCCTGGGTTCGATCCCTGGGGGAGTCATGGGTTCGCACTGCTGAGGAGTCCCGCACTAGGACGAAACAAATGTTTGGTGCTCTTTAGTTTCCAACTTTCTTCCAACTGACGTCAGTCTATGAGGAATTACAGCCAAAATCAAATAACACAAATGCCTATTATGATCATGACATACTTCAATTGAAAGAATAATGTACATTCTTCATGATTACTTTATTGGTTTTACTTATGGTGTTCCAATACGATAAAGTAGGAAAAAGGAGCAAGAGAAAAGTGCTGCTTTGAGTTAGTATTGACACAAACCACATCACTAATTAACTTTCAGCTATATATGTGCTGAGGTTGTAACCAAATGCTTGAGCTAGTGTGGTTATTATTATATTGTTATTTGTGCCTCGGGTTCCTAATAAAACATAGGGCTTCACTAGCACCCATCCATTCCACTCTCTTCTCTACAAACTCTCAAACCTGGCTCCACAACAGCCCACAAACTCTCATTTCTGCCTCACACTATCTCTTCCATGTCACCCTCACCCTCAACCTCACCCTCACCCTCACCTCGAACGCCCAACTCGTCACTTCCCATCTGGGTTCCACTCGATCAACTGTCGTGGCACGTGATGTCCCCAGTCGGCCTTCTCAGTGTATGCCCAATCCAATCCAATCCATCTCCACTTTCTTCCAGTGTATATTTGTTCAGCGATAGCTTCTTGTTTCGTTGGTTCGTTCACAGAGTGAGTTCTCTGTTGCTTATTCTTATTATTCTGGCCATCTGAGCTTCAGTAACGAGTGCAGCGTGGTTAGTCACTTACAAAATGAGAATAGATATCCACCGATAAAGCCAGAATAGGATGAAGCTGTTTTTAAAAATATCAAGTTAGAAAATGCGGATCATAATTATTGAAGGTCGAAAACTGAGAAAAAAAGTTCCAAATGTAAGTAAGTTTAAAAAACGTTAACGACAATCATACTGAAGTGTGACATCAGTTAAGGAAGTCTCTGACTATCGGTTCAAGACGGGTCGGGATCCATATGATATCCTACCTGAAGGCTCAGAAACCCCAGACAGTATGATGAAGAATCAAAATAATTAGCTGAGATAAGTTCACACCTTCGCTTTATCTTCATTATTGAGATTCTTTGTGAACTTTTATAACATTCTCTCTACTTCTCAATCTTTCGATTTGTTTCATTTGGTTATGATATGCTAGTATGAGGTCTGGTAACTTGACCTATCAGGCAACTGTAAGATCTTTCTTCTCCTACGTTGCATGTGAAATGTTGTTACTATTTTATCCATTTGCTTGTCTGTCTCATTTACTTCAATATGCTGATATCAATGCTAACAACTTGAGTTTTGTTTTAAATATGGTAGAGCCTATAATGATAATGTCTTTCTAATTTTATTTCACTTTTCATGAAGATAAGTGCTAATAAGGAAGAAATGAGATCAAATAAGATCTGTTGTCAATCTCTTCTAGAGCACTGAGATAAACTATCCAATCCAGAAACAACTGACGTAGCTAAAACTGATTTATTTGTGCTAAAGGAATATCAAGTGAACGATTTGTTAAATGATTTCAACTGATAACGGGTTATCAACTCAAGAAGAGTAAGATTCCCAAACTGTTCTAGAAATACTGGAAACAAATTATTTTGATTTCGATCTCTAATTGGACAGGCTTGTTGGTGCATACTTCTGAGAAGTCCTATATTTGGACGAAACAGCTGCTCAGTACTTACAGATTATCAGTTTGATTATCTAAGATAGTTATAGTTTGATAAAGTTTTATTGATACTAGGTGATGATTGAGGGTAGAATGAAAATCTTAGTTATGACAGGAATCGAACCAACAACCTCTAGTTTACTTGTCCAAGCTCTGTTGCTGGCAAGATTTTATTAACACTTCAATCCCCAAGTATTTTTCTTTATTACAATGAGGGTATAGGATGCATTATCATTCCTTGATCGTATTCATACTGACTGACCAACTAAAACTTCTCATTCAAATCAAGCTGATTTGAAAAGGAGAAATTTCATATTGATTATCATATTATTATCAAAGATACCTGGGGTTCGGTAGACATTTTTTAATGATAATGAAAATATGATCTATTTAGCAGTTAAACATTGTAGCTCAACTAATGGAGCAGTCAGTTAGTAACTCGTAGATAGTTAGTTCGAACCCCCTAAACGGCCCAAATTTTCATTTCACCATCAAACATCATCATCCATTATAAATCTCTACATATTGATCAATCTCAATACCTGAATATTGAAAAAAAAATCTAACTACTTATTTTATTAATGAATAATAATTATGAGGTAATTTTTCATTTTAATTGTCAGTTAAATAAGTTCACCGAAATATGATACTGATAAAAATTTTGTTTATCTAGTAACACTAGTATAAACTCAAAAAGAAGCAGATTTTGTATACAACCAAAGTTATCAAATACATACACACATTTTATGACTACAGTTATGTAACTATAGTAACCAAAAATTTTGATACAATTTTATTATCTTTCTCTTTTTCTGTTTAAAAATGAAATAAATATGTTATCGAAAAAAACTAGAGAATAATCTGATCTCAAGTTGTTATTCATCGTAGACTGACATCAGTTGCAGGAACA